GGGTAGACTCCTGCATAATGAAAACAATACGGCTGACGGGCGCCAGGGAGGTGGTGGATGGTAACCCAGCAACAGAAGGTCAACAACTCTTCTCACAGAGCAGCTGACAGGCAGCCACTTCCGCCCAGCAGCACAAAATGAAATTGTACGAATATAATTGCTCTACCAATATTGTATTACTTTTGTCCTACCACTACTACTACTACTACTACACTACCACTACCACTACCACTATGAACATCGAATGGTAGCGCGGGGGGGGGGGGGTGCACTATGCTAGGTCGGCGCCTGCACTCTGAGGGCCATGTATGAGTAGCGCGTGCTGGCGAGGTAGGTGCGCGGATGTATGGTGTAGGGAGTATATGTGAGAATGTGCTTGGATAAAGGCCTCCTGGAGAGCGATGTACGTTTTGCCACAATAAGGATGTCAACATAATTTGCACTTGGGTGTCCTTTTACTTAACAAATTGTCGTAAGGAGTGGTCTAACACTTTACTACGACACCCCCCGGATTGCCATGACTGTGAACTCCATCGAAACAACCGCAAAACTTCCAGCAGACATAACTCAAAACAAAAGAGTGAAGTTCAAGCGAGTGAAAAGAATTTCAACTACTCAGATAGAAAACTGGGGAAATTAAAAACTGTATCAAGAAATACGACCAAATTCTAGCCAAACAATAGAGCAAAAAAGTTAATGTGAAGGACCTGGGAGTGATAATGTCAGAGGATCACGCCTTCAAAGAATACACAATGTATTTACTGCATCGCTAGGAAAATAATAGGATGGATAATTAGAACCCTCAAAACTAGAGACGCCAAGCACCATGATGCTTCACTTCAAATCGCTTCTCTCTAGGGGTGGAATACTGCTATATATGAAAATCTTTGTAACTGTATTTGTGTTTAACCTGAATAAATCTTAATAACTGCTTCCCTTCAAGTGCAGGCGAAATTGCGACCTTGGAGATTTACAAAAAACGTTCATGGCCATACATAAGAACAATAATGCACTAAATAACTGGAAACGGTTGAAGGCCCTTGAATCTGTATTCCCCCCCCCCCTGGAGTGCAGGCCAGAGAGATACGTGATAATATACACTTGGAAAATCCTAGAGGGATTAGTACCAAACTTGCACACGAAAATCACTCCATATGAAAGCAAAAGTCTAGGCAGAGATGTAACATTCCCCCAATGAAAAGCAGGGGCGCCACCGAGTACAATGAGAGACAACACACACATAAAGTGTCCGGGGCCCAAGACTGTTTCAAACGCCTCCCACGATACCAATGGGGGATACCAATAGAAGACCCGCTGGCTGTCTTAAGAAGGCGCTGGACGCACCTAAAGTCAGTACCTGACCAACCAGGCTTTGTTCGTATGTCAGTTTGCGTGGCGTCCACAGTTAACAGCCTTAGTTGAATCAGACCCTGATCCACCACGAGGCCTGGTCTCAAAGCCGCGGGGGCGTTGACCCCCAAACACTCTCCAAGTTAACTCTAGATAAACATACTCTTCAGTAACTATCTTATTTCCTTAACGTTTTCCTATATCACAGCGTCATCAGTCGCATACATAGGCCACCAAATATTTTATAGAAAAGACAGAAGCAGAGGAGAGGTAATGACATACAGTCAGTCCTTCAGTCATTTTAAAGTAGTTTGAAATCGTTTTTGGCAGCCCAAGGTTGTAATCTGCTCTCTCCTTGATGGCATAAGACTCTGTCAATCCATTAGTTTTGTCATGCATCTGAAAACCATTGCGAGGTGGAATCCACAGTTCTCTCACTCAACTGTGAGCAGTGTTGGAGGTTGTGGAAGGTGCAGAAACAGTTGCTTGGGCAGTAGGAGACAGGTCAGCAGAAGTAGTGAAGTTAACGACGTTAGGAAGAATCCAGAGGATGTCAGCTGAAGGTATGGATTCAGGGATAGCGAAAGGCAGGCATGTTAAGTAGGAATAGTTTATTGATGGTAGTGTTGAATGTGACTGGGTTGGCTGCATTTGCAAGGTGCGTATACACCATGCAATACAGCATCTTGGAGAGAGTCGCGTCTGAAAGTGGAGAGAGGGAAGTGCTGGATGGAGATGACTGTTCTGTAGCTTGAATTTTCTGGGTATCAGACTGTAGTGTTGTTATGGTGTAATATGTCGGCAATATGGGGATGCTTTTCTTAGCTTCTTTGATTCTCTTAGTCAGCACTTCCTTCCTTATTGGATATTTGGCTGCAAGGGTGTGATGAGTACCCTTGCAGTTGAGACAGGTTGAAGTGGCCTTGGTGGTGAACATTCCTTTTGAAGTCGTGGTCCCTTCTTTTTCACACAGCTGGAGGGCAGAATTTCATGTCTTTTAAATGGGACAGTTGGGTCGTGAGTGATGGTAATAATAACAGTTCCAGCAGGGAAGACATGATAAAATGTTCTGGTTCCAATTGTCGTAAATGAATATAATAGTAGGAGATGGCGAGGCCGTCAGAAAGCACTTTGAATATGGAAAAGGTTAGTTTGACCACTGAAGAAGTGTTTGGAATTTTGGTGATGTAGTCAATCGAGGCCCAAATGTTTTGTTCCTCGATAGAGGTCTTAAGGTCAGCAGTTGATAGGGATGTGATGATTTTGTCCAAAAGTGTGACAAAAAACAGAACGTTTCGCCAGCAGGAAAGGTGAAGGAGATACATTAAATTGTCGGTCAATGAGTGTCTTCATTGCGGTGTCATCCATGAGTTTTGATGCTTCATTGTCGTCAGTACAGATGACAGTAAAGGAGTCCTTCAGAGAGTGGATTGCTGTGTCCTTCAGAGAGCGGATTGACTCTCAAACAGGTCCTTACAGCTGCAGCAAGGGCTAGTTTGGAGTCATTGATGACTCCACCGGCTGGTTTAATCTTTACACGATACGAAAGCATCGAAGTGGAAGGGTAAAGGCGATGGTGTGTAGGTTACAAATTCCCCTCCCCGACGGGGATCGAAGAGATACTTCTTGAGGTAAAGTGACTGTGTCTTGTCAGTAGGAAGGTTAGCAGCTGGATTCCTCCTTCTTCTTTCGCAATTTCTCGAACAGTCCAATTAGCGACACAACTTTACACACGTTACTTTGTCTATTTGCACTCCAAATTTAGGAAAATTGCAAAAAAGATTCCACACCATTGTCACTGAAATCACACATGTCTCCGAGGTACATCTATGTAATTGATTTAGATGTGTCAGAGTTCTCTCCAGTTATGTCGGTGAAAGGTTAATTCCAGATTGTACTTATCATGTTTTTTTAACATCCTATGGAGAGGAAGTAATTACACAGGGGTTGTTTCACAGATACTAAAAACAACAGACATAGCCCCACTCCACAAAGGTGACAGTAAAGCAATTGCAAAGAACTACAGACTGACAGCGCTAACATCCCATATCATAAAAATCTTGGAAAGGGTTCTAAGAAGCAAGATCGCCACTCATCTAGATACCCATCAGTTACACAACCCAGGGCAACATGGGTTTAGAGCAGGTCGCTCCTGCCTTTCCCAGCTACTGGACTACTATGACAAGGTCCTGGATGCTATAAAAGACAAACAAAATGCAGATGTAGTATACATAGACTTTGCAAAAGCCTTTGACCAGTGTAACCATGGTGTAATAGCGCACAAAATGCGTGATAAAGGAAAAATAGGAAAAGTTGGTAGATAGATCTATAATTTCCTAACAAATAGAACACAAAGAGTAGTAGTAAACAGAGTAAGTCTGGGCGGCTACAGTGAAAAACTCTGTTCCGCAAGACACAGTATTCGCTCCCATCTTGTTCCTCATCCTCATATCTGACATAGAGAGGGATGTAAGCCACAGCACCGTGTCTTCAATCAAGTTTATTCTCTATAAAGATTACAATGCGAGGTTTACATATTATAGGATATTGTGAGATTTACTTATTATACAATACTAATTACAGAGAGGGCCACTATCACACCTAGCATGACTAGGCATTTCAGGCAGACTAAGATTAATTCAAACTCAGATGACACCTGAATTTGTATGACAGTGTCCTCCATTGAAGACACTGCAAGACTCCAGGCAGACATCAACCAAATCTTTAAATGGGCTGCAGAAAAAAAATGAATTTCAATGATGAGAAATTTCAATTACTCCAATATGGAAAACGTGAGGAAATTAAAACTATACGGAGTATAAAACAAATTCCACCCCCACAATAGAATGTAAAACTAACGTCAAAGACCTGGGAGTGACAGTGTCAGATGATCTCACCTTCAAAGACCACAACATTGTATCAAGTGCATCTGCTAGAAAAATGACAGCATGGATAATGAGAACCGTCATAACTGGGGAAGCAAAGCCCATGATGACACTCTTCAGGTCGCTTGTTCTATCTAGGCTGGAATATTGCTGCACACAAAGAGCACCTTTCAAGGCAGGTGAAATTGCTGACCTAGAAGATGTACAGGAATTTCAACGGCGGTGCAAACCTGTGATAAAACACTTCAGTTACTGGGAACGCTTGAAGTTCCTCAGCCTGTACTCCCTAGAATGCAGGCAGGAGAGATACATGATTATATATATGCACATGGAAAATCCTAGAGGTATTAGTACCAAACTTGCACACGAAAATCACTCCCTATGAAAGCAAAAGACTCGGCAGACGATGCAACATCTCCCCAATGAAAAGCAGGGGTGTCACTAGCACGTTAAGACACAATACCTTGAGTTTACCTGGAAAGGGTTTCAGGGGTCAATCGCCCCTGCAGCTCGGTCTGAGACCAGGCCTCATGGTGGATCAGGGTCTGATCAACCAGGCTGTTACTGCTGGCCGCACGCAAGCTGACGTACAAGCCACAGCTGGTTAGTCAGGTACTGAACTTTAGGTGCCTGTCGCAGGCATTCTTATAGACATCCAGGGGTCTATTGGTAATCCCCTATATATGGGACCTTTCATTTCTGTTTTCTTTACCAACTGAAAAAAAATGGGCTTTTCCTTTTAGTCATGATAGTGAAAGGTTTAAATTCATTAGATATTTATCAATTTTATTTCTTAAAACATTTTTAGCAGTGCTTGTTGGCTATATTTTTATGAAGTTACCAATGAACTATGAATATAATTAACACTTCACATATACACCTGTGTTATCTGAAAACTTGTGTGAAATACTGTGTATAATAAGGAACAAGCAAACATTATGTACCAATAAATCTGGTCAAATACCATTGTATTTCTTGTATTATTACACATAATAATAGTATTATTATTATTATATACTGTATTTCAAAACAGCATTTATAATTCATTAATTACAATTTATATTTTGCAGCAAGGTAGGGTGACTTAGTGAAAAAACATGATTACTTATATATTATAAATGTTATCCAAACTCATAACTTAAATCAGAACATTGGGTGGAAATAAACTTTACCATTAAAAATTAACATTATGAACTTTTTGGCACATTATACAAAGCTACAAATAATGTATACTAAAGTATACTGGAAGACTTGAGTCCTTGGTCCATCCATTTGGCAGTGAAATGGAGACTGATTGGCTGAGAAAACACAAACTGGACTTCACAGCTTGAGCTGAACCTTCCTAGTTGCACAATAGCAATGTCCTGGACTCACAAGGGGGGGTATCGGATACCTTCCTAAGTTGCACAATAGCAAGTGTCGCTTGGGACTTCACAGCTTGAGCTGAACCTTCCTAGTTGCACAATAGCAAGTGTCCTGGACTTCACAGCTTGAGCTGAACCTTCCTAGTTGCACAATAGCAAGTGTCCTGGACTTCACAGCTTGAGCTGAACCTTCCTAGTTGCACAATAGCAAGTGTCCTGGACTTCACATTATTATTATTATTATTATTATTATAATTAAGGGGGAAGCGCTAAACCCGGAGGATTATACAGCACCTGGGGGGGGGATGTGGAAGGCATTCAGGCTTAATTCGGGGAACTGGAGCACAGATCTAATTCCCTAAATCAAGAGCCCCTCACCAACATATCCTGGACTTCACAGCTTGAGCTGAACCCTCCTAGATGCACAATAGCAAGTGTCCTGGACATTTCACAGCTTGAGCTGAAGCCCTCCTAGATGTACAATAGCAAGTGTCGCTGGACTTCACACTGAGCTGAACCTTCCTAGATGCACATTACAAGTGTCCGGACTTCACAGCTTGAGCTGAACCCTCCTAGATGCACAATAGCAAGTGTCCTGGACTTCACAGCTTGAGCTGAACCCTCCTAGATGCACAATAGCAAGTGTCCTGGACTTCACAGCTTAGCTGAGCCTCCTAGATGCTCAATCAACAGATGTCCTGGGACTGGTTAACAACACACTTCAGAATTCTTCTTGCACTTCTTACTATTCCCTGCATTCTGAAAGTTGAAATTCATTATACACACACACACACTCACACACACAACACACACACACACAACACAAAAAAAAAAAAAAAAAAAAAAAAAAAAAAAAAAAAAAAAAAAAAAAAAAAAAAAAAAAACTAGCTTATTTTTCCAAAAGTATACAAAAGTAGGTGACTATTTCACACCAAGAGAAAAGCTGCTGGTTATACAGAGTATTTCAAGCAATTAAACTGTCACTTTAAATTGATTGACAATGTATAGCTTTTATATTGTCAATCAATTTAAAGTGACATTTTAATCAATCAATTACTGAATGAGAATTCCACTTGGCCAAAGATTATTAATATATTTTTTAAGACAATGGAGCAGATTCCCACTGAGAGAAGGGTTACTGCCCCTTGCTCCCGCATTTTATTCGCACTCCTAGGACACACATTGCTTATGGAGGAAGGATTTCTTCTTCTCCACTTCTGCATGGAAATTAAATAAACTTTATTTCCAATTCAGTTTATTCTCCTATAAGGGTATACATTGTGGGGTTATACATGTTTATGAAAATACTAATTACAGAGGGCCACACTAGGACACCTAGCATGGCTAGGCATTTCGAGCATGACTTAGATTTAAATCTAACATTAAATCCTTACAGATTATGGTATTAAGGCTAAGTGACTACATCCATAATTTGTGAGTTTAGCTATGTGGAATCTTTGTTTTGGCACAAACAAAGTGTCTATATGGATATCAAGCAAACTAAATGACTAGTTAGATTTATTATTTTAAAAGATTAAGATTAGAATTTCTGGGTATAGTCATGGGTGAGTGATGTAATTGTGAACCACGCAGGTGGTTATCAATGTAGTTAGTTTGTTTGGGGTGGATCAGGAGAATAGATGTTTTCTAACTGTATTTTTGAAAGTGATGAATGTGTCCTGCAGTTCTAGAGTTTTCAGGTAGGGTGTTCCAGATTTTAGGTTCTTTGAAATTACATTGAATTTTGTAAAGTTTAGTTGAACACGGGGAATTGTCATAGAAGATGTTAGTGTCTTGGTGTTATGCCTGTGGATCCTTCACAACCATCAAGAAAGCATTTTAGGTCCAGGTTAATATTGGAATTAAGGCCCTGTAGATATAGATTGCACAATAGTAAGTGTGGATGTTCTGAACATGGAGTAAGTTTGGGGGGGAGATCTATGAAGAGTCGGGGGTGTGTTGCCAGGGATGGGATTTAGTGATTATTCTACTGCGGCTTTTTGTTGGTTCTTATTGGTCTTTAGGTGTGTTGCTGCAGTTGAACCCCAAGCACGGATAGCATAGGTGAGGTATGGATATATAAGTGAATTTAATAGTGTGAGAAGGGCAGTTTTGCGGCACGTAGTATCCGTATCTTGAAGTACCATCCTTTTGGATACTTTTTTTCGTTATTTGGTTGATATGGTTGCTGAACTATGGCTAAAACGCGACGGGCTGGAGTTTTGAGGACTCTATAACCAGCGGGTTTCAATCCGGCCGGGGGTATGGTTTATGGGTGCTGAAATTTAGTTGTTGTCGAGGTATACGCCAAGGAATTTGCCCTCATTATGTCTGGCAATTAGAGTGTTGTCGAGTCTTAATGTAATTGCGCACACCTGCTCTGCTCAAAGCCATAATATATAGGTTTTTTGCCAGTGTTAAAGTGTAAGTTTATTGGCTGTCATCCAAGTCGATATTTTAGCACTGATAATTTTGGTATAATAAATAGAGCAGAAATACAGTGGTGACAACATTTGCACAAGTATTATGCAGAGAGTCTGGATATGCAGGTTGCATTACAAAGACAAATATTTTGTTTAATGTTAAAATTTTACTTCAGATTCAAAGTTTCTATTTTCTTGAAGCAGTTGCTGGTAACTACAATTGCCATAAATGCATTGCTTAACCTAAACACTTAAAGATAGTCTTTTTTCCCTGAGATATATCTGGATCTGTACAAAAACAATTGGTATCTATGATTTACAAAGAAATAACAAAAAAACCTGTTTATCTCATCAACTGTCTCTACTAACATAGGGTGATTCTCGCCCACTGCTCACCTCCCCCTCCCAAAAAAAAAAAAATACCATCATTAACATCCAATATTTGATTAGGTAGTAGGTTGGTAACGCAACCGCCCAGGAGGAACTACCGTCTTGCCAGTTAGTGTAAAAGCAGAAAGCCCTGTAATTGTTTTACATGATGGTAGGTGGTACGGCCCCCTACCAAACTAGGCAGCCGGCAGTACCACTGGGGTACGATCATCAAACCCATTGTGGGAATCTGCTGAGGGCCGGCCTTAGAAGCATTATGTACCTGAACACATCACGTACTGCATCTAAGCGATAGGTACCTTAACACTCACGGTACGCATCTAAGCAGTAGTACCATGGAACACCTAATGTTACACATCTACTTGGCCGTACGTATCTACTGCGTTTAGAGGAAGCGCTCACCACAAGCTCACTGGTACGATGGCCTCAGTTTTTACTTGACGGCCGCACTCAGTGAGCTTGCAGCATGGTGTTCTCTATAATTTCATTGGACCACCTTGCAGTGTGTCCCAATTTGTCTTGAAGGCGGTAGATATAACTCACCAGACCATCTTACGGTTAACTTCTACCAGCCTTAGAGAGTATTTACAGGACTACTGTGACGTCTGCGGACTCACCGCCTACGCTGGTCAACTGTGGGCTGAGTCCAACTGATGCGTGTTTTAGTGGGACATTACATGAAAGAAAAGGTGGAGTGTACAACTGAACTGGGCTAGGAATCCGTAGAGAGACACTTAGGGAAGTATGATGGAGTGAACACTGGAGATATGCTACAAGGAACCGTAGTGGAACACTGAGAAGAAAAGGGTGCCGTGTGACACTGAAGATGGCCTGGTTGTAGTGTACATTGAATAGTATCATGTGACTGGCCCTTCGAGAAAGACGCTGTGAGTGAGAGTGTGCGACGCAGAGAACAGGGTGTCAAGAGTGACACAGTAGAGTATATTGTGTATGACCAGAGAAAAGGGTGTCGTGTGACAGAGAGTAAGGATGTCGTGTGACACAGAGAAATGGTGTCTAGGGACATGGTTGAGCAGGAGCGTCATTACACGGAAGAAAGGGTGTCAAGTGACACAGTTTGAGGAGCGTCACAACACACCACGGATAAGTGTCGTGAGAGACACGGAGCGTCATAAGGAGTTGATTGTATTTAATATGTAAAATGTTACTTAATTTATTATTTAGCATACATATATATATATATTATATATATATATATATATAGTGACAAGGGTAGTGTCAAAGAGTTGTACCCTGTGTAGGGTCAGGAATTATTTATTATTTTAATGCTAATTAAATTTATTATTGCAACATTATATTATTTTAAATACTCTAAACCAAAGATGATTTTTTTATATTATATTAAAAATTAATTTATTTTAATTTGTATTTATGTATCCCGAACTCCTTAATTACAAAATGAGTACAACTACCCACTTAAAATTACTTTTTTTTGTAATAGTTTGGATTGCTGGTGTCCTTTTTTCTGTCTCATGAACATGCAAGATTTCAGTATGTCTTGCTTACTTCTACTTACACTTAGGTTCACACTACACATACATGTACAAGCACATACATTACACACCCCTCTGGGTTTTCTTCTATTTTCTTTCTAGTTCTTATCTTGTTTATTTCCCTCTATCTCCATGGAAGTCCGAACAGATTCTTCCTCCGTAAGCCCATGCGTGTTAAAGAGGCTACTAGCCCAAGACTCTTGCTACTTGGCATTTTAGTCGCCTCTTACAACACGCATGGCTTACGGAGGAAGAATTCAGTTCGACTTCCCCCATGGAGATAAGAGGAAATAACAAGAAATAAGAACTAGAAAGAAAATAGAAGAAAACCCAGAGGGGTGTGTATGTATGTGCTTGTACATGTATGTGTAGTGTGACCTAAGTGTAAGAGAAGTAGCAAGACATACCTGAAATCTTGCATGTTCATGAGACCAGAAAAAAAGGACACAGCAATCCAACTATTACAAAAAAAGTACTTTTAAGATGGTAGTTTACTCATTTTGTAATAAAGAGTTCGGGATACATAAATACAACATTAAAATAAATTAATTTTTAATATTATATAAAAATCAATCTTGGTCTAGAGGTATTAAAAATAATATAAATGTTGCAATAATAAATTAATAAATTAGCATTTAAAATAATAAATAATTCTGACCCTACACAGGGTACAACTCTCTTGACACTACCGTGTCACTATAATATATATATAAATATATATATATATATATCTATGCTAAAAAATAAATTAAGTAACATATACAATAAATAAATACATCACTCCTTATGACGCTCCGTGTCTCTCACGACACATACCGTGGTGTGTTGTGATCGCTCCTCTAAAACTGTGTCACTTGACACCCTTTCTTCCGTGTATTGACGCTCCTGCCAACCATGTCCACTATACAATCATTATTCTCTGTGTCACACGACACTCCTACTCTCCGGTCACACGACACCCTTTTCTCTGCGTCATACACTATATCTCTAACTGTGTCACTCTTGACACCCTTGTCTCTGCGTCGCACACTCTCACTCACAGCGTCCTTCTCGAGGCCATTCACAGATATAAAATTTTTTTTTGGGGGGTAAAAAAAAAAATAATTTGGGGGGGGGGGGGGGGGGGGGGGGGGGGGGGGGTTTTTTGGGGGGGGGGGGGGG